GGATTAAACCATTTCAGCTTCCACCACTAATAAAGGCTGCTCAAGAATTTGTGAATCATGAGGTTTTATACATTTCCTGCCTGTGCACCTCAAATGGGAAACAAACTAGAGGAGAAACAGCTAAATGCAGACAGAGGAAGGGGAAAAGTGGACAATCACCCACTAAATAATAGAGCTTTTTAGCCCAGGAATCACCTTGGCAAATCTTAGCTAACAGAATCCAATTCTTCAAGTGAGGCTGCCAACCATGTGTCCCAGTTGCCCACAAATGACACCCTTGGAGTAGAAATCCTAGCTGCGTACATTTTACTTTCTTACCAGTGCTTCACTTTTTCCGAACTTTTTCCCTCCATGTGGTTGCCCAAACCAATTCATGTGCTTATTGGCATGTTATGAAACATGGAAACAATTAGAGACCACATTCTAGGGCACAAGAATGACTTGCTACAGAATCAATGAACTACACAGAACTTGAGAAGATCTGGCAAGAAAGATGGAAAGTGTGGAATAAAACCCACTAACAGTATCTCATGTCACACAGTACATTCTAGAAGGCCTTAAATTAATCGTGTGTATTTTCAGGCAGCACTCAGACGTTACTTTTAAGGTTCTAGGTCTTAGCCTTTAGTTTCTCTGTATATCCTAATGAAATTGATAAAAATATTCAACTTATGCATATTCCTTCTGGGTTAATAACTGAATATATACCCAGTTGAAAACAGTTATCTTTGTTAAGTTTGGGATTCTTTCAAGGGCACCTTTGAGAGGGAGTAATAAATAGCTCTTAAACAGCAACGAATCTAAGTTTTCAGAAGCTCAATTTAAGTCTTAAGTTTTATCTAACATCTGCAAGGCCTTCTTCACCTATTCAAATGCTCAGAATGGTCAATTCTCTCACAAAAGGCCAGAAAATTTCAAACACATGCTAATGAACCCTGTTGCCTTTTGCTTGAGTATGTTGTTCTAACTCAGCAAAAGTTACAAGAACTACTGCTTTATCAACCATAGGAGAATAAAGAGCTCTGAGTTAGCCAGACTTAGGCAAAACAGAACACTGGAAAGCAGAGAAGATGGTTCCTGAGGGGAGAATTTCCTGGCATCATCAATTTTTAAGAAGGGGAGAGAGAATGCAAAAGGAACCAAAAGGGAAATGTGATGTCACAAATATATTATCCTTCATGACAGTTGTTACTACATGTAGTTTAATGCCCTATTACTCACTTATATTGTATTGCTTCATAGGATTGCAGTGAACGCAGCACTCAGACTATTCTATTGGCTCTTTGCTAGACTGATTAACAAGCGCCTTTAGTCAGGTCTTCTTCTAGAGATTTTGCCTTGGAGAAAGGCAAGGTCAGGGGAGTCCCATGTTCTAGCTACACTCTCCTCTTGACCACAATAGATGTGCTACTCTGGGAACAGTGGCAGACTTTACCAGGTACAATGGCTCTATGAGCTTAGTCAGTATTCATTGTCAAATACAGAGAAACAGGTATGTTTCATCTGGGAACAAAATGTTATTTGGCTGTCAGTTCTAATTGTCGCAATGAAGACTCCAAAATCCCTCAACCAAACTATGATATGTGATCCTCAAAGAGTCACATTTTTCATCTCAGTGAAAACCCCTAATAATCCTTCTGTGTAATCAAAAAAGGAGAAATGTGAATTTGAAGTCTAGTCATTGTCACATGGCAAAGATGTGGTAAACTTGGGATCTAACCCCACACATTTGAATGCAAGATGCTCCCCCTTCTGTCTCATGAAGTCACTCCTAGGCAGGCGTGTGTGATTTCATGCTACCTTCTATTCTCTTTCCCTCTCTTTTTTTCTTCCCCACCTTAAATCTCCAGTTAGTAGGTATTTCTGCATACATCTAATATACTAGAGTGTTTACACACATTTTTTCTTTTTTTTTTAAAGATTTATTTATTTATTCATTCATTCATTCATTCATTCATTCACTCATTCAAGCACTGGGTACAGTCAGAAGCGCAGGAGGGTGAGAGAATTCACCAGAGCCAGAGCAGGGAGCAGAGCAGGCAGAAGGACCGAAGTACACTGCTGAGGGGAGCAGCGGGCGGCAGGAGAGGTCTGCGCGCCATGTGGGGCCCTCCTCTGGTGGCAGGGGAGCAGCCGGGGATTGAATCGGCGCTGCAGAGGCTGTGGGCAGCTTCACAACCCAGCGCTCAACCGCTGCGCCACCGGGGAGGCCCTACACACATTTTTTTTCTATATACCAAGGGGATGAATATTATTTCAGGAATCTGAGCCTGAATCAAAATAATGAAATTACAGAATTCAGCCCTTGGAGAGGTGATTTGTTTAAATTACTTGGACCACCTTCCTTTATGAGGGCAACTGCAGGCAGTTCCTAAGTAAAGGCAGGTTAGTTCACATGTCTACTTCGACAAGGTGGCTGCTGGGAATTGAGAATTCATTGAGTCCCAGGTCAGCCCACATAATAATCCACAAAGTGCTTTAAGTGTGGAGCTATTATTTCAGTCACAACTAACCACTGTATATAACATTGTTTTTATAGTGAAACTCAATCCAAGTGTTTGCATGAGAATCCAGGAATGTTTTCTCTTTCCTCCCTGAAACTTTAGGTGAAAGGGTAATTGCATAGGGAGAAAGTGAGGTGGGAGGGTGTGAGGGAGGAAGATGGAAGAGCAGGTGAATCATGTGGGGGTCCACTGCTCTGTTAGAACTCTCTATTGCCTTTGGCCATTTATTCACAAGTGTTCTAGACTGAGAGACAAAGGACTTCTGAGCCTGAAAGGTCAGAGCTCATTTGTATGATGAGATGGTTCATGGCTGAGACTCCTCAAAATTGGCTGATGCAGGTCATCACAAGTTTGGGTACAGACTGAACCACCCCAGAATAAAAATCACAAGACAGCCATTTCATTGGCTTCTCTCGGCCATTTAACAAAGGAGAAAGCTAACTTGCATCAGCAAAGAGTAATTAATGAAGGGAGCACACAGAGGTTCATTTAGTAACTTCCAAATAAGTTCCCGTGTCTGAGGTGGGGGGAAAGGTAGCCTGCAACATAAAGATAAACTGTAGGTATTTAAGTCACAATGCCTTCCGCCAAGAACTGCTCATTACCATCAGATGTTGCAGTGGCACTGGGGCCAGTACAACTAACTTTATTATTAGAAGCAATTAGGAAGAAAAGGGGCCGGATTTCATTTGGTTATTTCAAAATAAGTTTCTGTGCATGGTTTAATGAAGGCCTGCAGTGTCAAGATAAAATGTGTGTTTTACCGAACACAGCTTTTGCAAATGACTTCTTGTTACCAGCTGGTATCTCCAGGCAGAGAGGTCTGAGAAGGTTGGAATTATGCGCATGCCATAATACTTCAGCTGTCTCAGCTTCACAGGAGTATTAACGGGCAGTATGGTCTAGTGGTTAAGAACATGTACTCTGAAGCCGGATTGTCTATCTTCAAACCTTAATTCTTACCTTTGTAATTGAATGCCTTTGGGTGACCTTCTGGATTGTTCTAGGCATCAGTTTACTCATTTGTAAGTGGAGATCATAGACTTTATCTTGTGGGGTTGTGAAATATCGAGGCATCTAATATACGTTAGATAGTGTTGTAATTATTGGCCACTAAATCCAAGAATCATTTGGATGTGGGGGCGTGTTTCTGGTTTTTTTTTTGTTGTTGTTGGTTTTTTTTTTTTTTAAGAAAAGGCTTGCTTAATGGAGGAAACCTTGAGTCCATATGTAGAATAGATCTATTTATGTCTTTTCAATGATCTTGCTTGTAGAGTCTGAAACAGATACCTATCTTCAATCATGACAGTATTTATGCCAATTAATTTTAAACAATATTTCAATATTTCTGTGGACTTCACAGAATTTTTGTTTTGAAAAGATCTAATTGCTTCCTCCATTTACTAAGCTAGATGTATAACTTATCTTTTGATTTCTCACCTTTAAATAAACATCTGAGACTTTCGTATTTCCCTAAATCTGAGCTTCTCCCTTATAAAGCTCCTGCTGCCTCAACTTTTCTCTCACGTGCACATGTAGTATAAGACAACCTGCCATGTATTGAGCTTAGAAGGACATTTAAATAGCACAATAACTGGGACTTGGACTTTGACTATTTTTTAATATTAGAGACCATGTGCAGTGAAAGGGACCTTTCAGTGGTAGACTCAAGTTCTGACTCAAGTGTCCCAATCTGCTGTCACAGTGCTTTCTTCAGTGATTTTTTTTCAGATTTATAAACCAAATACTCAAGGTTAAATATTTATTTTTATCAGATGGCTACAATATTTACACATTCACTTGGTGATATGAAACAATCCTTACCCGTTATGTTTTAGTTTTGCAAATCAACGGTATTTAGCCAATGTGCCATGCACCATAATATTGGACCCATATGATGAATAAAACTCCTTTCTTGGACCTTAATAAGCAATGACTCCACCATTAAAATCTATTCATTTTGGAAAAGTCAAAACTAGCAAAATGCCCTCGACACATTTATATGTTTTCTCAGCTGTGTATTAAGTCACATCATTTTTTCTGGCTGCCCTGACTTAATTCATGCTAATTTGAATAATTTAAATAAGAGGCTGCTTCACAACATTTTAAGTCTAACACTATAGACTATGAAAATGAACAGTTGAAAATACTGGGTATTACATATTGGTGGGATTCTTTCCCAGAGTCTGTATGTTCCTGTTCACTCTGAGTTTTAGAAAAAGGTTCAAACTAGTATTTATTTTCTCGATGTCAACTTCCTTGAATATGACTTTTTCTTTGGTAAATCACAAATATATCATGAGAAAATTTCCTTTTTGAAATGTACAGAAGAATGTGAAAGAATGGTCTAATCAGAGTAGTTGATGCCCGTCTACAATTAGAGTCTGTGAGAAAGACCTTAGGGAAAGGTTAGATTCTGAACAACAGAAAAGCTGCAACATAGGGATTGTCCAAGGGAAGATTTTTAAAAGGGAGGACATGGATGTTTATTCTTACCCTGGACCGTTCTTCTAGTTTGGTCATCATAACGACTGTAGCACTTCGCTGTTCCCATATCATTCTCCAAAAGTCCCCGAATGTTTCAGGGAGAGATCCCTGTGTGGCGATATAGGCATTTTGTTTCCTATAGCCATCTATATAATTGGCATTCACATAGTCACTTCCTGGGATGCCTGTAAGACAAGAAGAGTGATTCAAGGAGGTGAATGCATTATAAGAGAAAACAGCCTGAGGAAAAGCCTAGTGACAATGTTATATTCGGGTTCCACATTATGTTAGAGGAATTTCACAATACGTTGAAGTATGGTTTTAAAGAGGCATGATCAGGATCATCATATTAAAGAAATGCAAGGTTTGAGGTGTTGGGGTATTTGTAATATATGATAAATTACCGAAGGAGTGAAAATACAACCAGGGGTCCACAGAATGCCTTTTCGCTCACATGTTGCCTGGTTTTTTTAATTGCATCAGCCAAATCTAGCTTGCAGAGGAGGATAAATACTTATCTGGTCACAATCTTCACTCATGTTCTTCCTCAACACCAGACAAAAACTGAATAAAATAATGCTTGAGTCTGCAAATGCAATTTAGGATGGAAGAGTGAAAAGGTTTTTGCCCATTTAGTTAACAGAGAAGTCATATATAAACTCATCTAATACAACTCTGGGAATATCTTTTACAAAGAGGAAACTGGGGTACACCGAGATTCAAAACCATGCTCACTGGTAGAGTGCCATTCATCTTTAGGCAGTCTATCCACAAAGTCTGTGTCTTCACCTCTGCAGAATAAAGCTGATTTCAATCTCCCGTGGTTACTTCATACAGGAACCTCTCCTTGGCTTATGCAATTGCTACCTAATTGGTTTTCTAACTTCTACTTTTGTCCTTGGATCCAGCATGAGACCAATTTAAAAAAAAAAAAAAACCATATTTCAGACACTGTAACTTCTCTTGCTCAAACCCAACAATGGCTTCCCCATATACTTCAAACCCAATCTCTCAACAATCTCAGTGCACTCGCCTCTTTGCCTTCTACACTCCAGCCTTTAGCCTGCCTCAGTTGGCAGGGGACATCACTCTCCCACCACCCCACACCCAAGAACACAGTCTCTTCAGAATAAAACACTCAGCTTCCATTCAGATGGTCTGTCCTTGGTAGTCTGGCATTTCAGATCTCCTCTGACAGTCTACTTATTGTGTGTCCTTGAAATATATTTAATTGTGAACTTGCTTATTGCCTATTTTGACTCTAGACCATGTCTCTCTTATTCACTTTTGCTATCCCTGGTGACAGAAAGTGTAAGTAATGTACACCAGTTCCAATATTTAATAAGTAGCAGAGATAGAATTGAATGCAGATAGTCTGATTGAAAGTCTAATTTTCCTTCATCATGATGCCGTAAAGTTTGAATTTCTTCCTGAGACAGTGACCAAAATGATTAAAGAAATCCAAGCTATTTCAGATGCAGAAGGGCAAGATCTTACAGCCTGGCAAAGGAAAAGCAGTAATTGAGGATAAGAGTTTCCTGTGAGAATCTAAAGAGAAGTTTAGGTTTATGCTGTTTAGACTCAACTTTTCAGTTCTGAAGGATGTAACTACAGAGAGACAGACTTCATCTCCAATCTAATAAAGCATTTTCCAATTGCCAGACTCAAAAGGGGAAATGATTTCCTTGGGAGGTATAAGTTGTGTATCCCAAGAGCAGAATAAGCACTTTACAGAGATACTAGTATGACAGAGAAGTAGCAACAGAACCTCTACATGGCCCCTTCTTGCCCTGGGAAAATATGAGGGCTATATTAATTTTTGAGGGAAAAAAAGAACATTTTCTTTATAATGGGACATATGTTCCCAAGCTAAAATTGTCATATTTCACTGATTGCCACTTGCAATTACTTTGACTGTTTTTCTGATTCCAGTTGTAAAACTGATCCACTCAAGTAAAGTAATGAAACTCAGATGGAAACCAGTGGGCCCGGAGATGAACACAGGGATATGCAATACCACCAGCATTAGTGAAAAGTCTTTTGAGCAGAAACTGAAATGCACGGTTGGTTGTAACATTATTCATCTATTACAGCTACTCAGAAAGCAGTTGGGGTTCTGGCAGCCCTTTGTTGATAAAGATCCTATTCTTCCCTGACACCAAATTACTGTAGATTCAAAGGATAGTTTAAATAAAGTCCTCAGGTTACAGTCACTGAGAAGCATGCACATCTACATGTCCACAGGATTTGGTTCAGAGCCAGCAATGGATCTATTTTATAACACAGGAAAAACCTACTTTCAAAATTCCAATTTATCATATAACAATATGAAAGCATTTTTTTTTTTTTTAAAGATTCTGAATAAGGCCCTTACTCAGTTACTGTCATACAGAAAACTTTTTTCCCAAGAAAATTCAAAATGGAGCTTCTGGGTTAATGACTCAGAAAATGCATCCACTGGGCACCCAGCCATTCCTCCTTATCAAGGAAAACAAATGTGTCTGAACAACGTGTCTGAGGACAGATGAGATGGATGTGAGACTCGTATCTAAAGGAAGCAAGTCAGACCCATTCAACTCTCTGGCATAAATTATGGTCAGTTATTATGTAATGAATTTCTATTTTCAGGTATTGTCCAACTTTGAATAACAACTTATTATTTTTTAGGGGGAATGGGTTACTATTGAATAATGATTGCACTTCCCAGTGATAAAAATACAAAAATATTGCTTAAAAGTAGTAGGCATTGGGGATCCATACTGTATCACCAAATACTTTAAGAATTGGGGGCGTGGGCCTCTCTGGTAGTGCAAGGGGTTAAGATGCAACCGATGAAGCTGTCAGAGGCATCTGCAACAAGAGTTTGATACCCAGCCGGCCAGGGAACAACCCACATGTCACAGCAGACCTCTCCTGTCTCTCCCGCTGCTCCTCTCAGCAGTGTACTTCTGTCAGTCTGCCTGTTCTGTTCCCTACTCTGCCTCTGGTGAATCCTCTCAACCCCCAGCACCTCTGGCCTGTACCCCAGCTCTTATATGCATAAATAAATAAATCTTTTAAAAAAAGAATTTGGGACATGATTTTTTACAAAGAAGAGAACTGATAACTGATAACAAAAAGTCAATAATGAATAGAACTAATTCTTAGGTTAATGTTATATCCTAAAAATAATGCTGAGACTCCTTTTGCATGTTGACACTTGTTTACAAGGCAGTAGTAATGGGAATAATAGCCTCCTCCTGGGACATTTCTTTACTCACTCTGAACAAAACAAATTTCAGGTAACTTTTCTCTTACAATGTTCTTTGTGGTAGAGAGGTGTGAGGGTGGGCACGTGTCTTAGAAGCTTCAGATTTAAAGGTGCCCTGTGTTTACAAAACCTATGCATGAAGATACATAACCTACGTAGAAAGATGGAGAAAAGATTTTAGAAAGGATGGTTGTTAACTCTGAAAAAATATCACCTGCTAGCTTTCCAAAATTTTAGGTGCCATGTACCTTACCAGTAGCTTTTGATGTTTCTGTGGACAATCTGGATAGACAATATTCTTTCACTTTTTTTGAGTGACCTCCAAGTGATGCATATTCATTTATTTACTTTTAAATTTCCTGCCTTATCCAGAAAATGATTTGCATGGGCTAATGCAACACTAATCAGAGTACACTATTAAGCCAAGAAAAGTGTGTGAAAAATAATTGAATTTGTATGGGACTTCGCTAACTCAAAATCTAACTTAGAATGCAGTTACTGAAGGAACATATTACCATAAATTAGCTGATTGCTTTTATTTTGTGGATTCAAGGAGACCTTAGCCCATACTATGATGACAGTGCTACCCCTCAGAAAGGACAGCACTTACTAAAATGACAAGAACAAAACAAAAATGTCTCATTATTGCCAAATTTTAAAAATGGCTTATTGAAGGAATTGTTTCTTGGAGTCAATTAGTCTTTTTTTTTTTTAGATTTATTTATGCATACAAGAGCTGGGGTATAGGCCAAAGATGGGTGTGTGTGTGTGTGTGTGTGTGTGTGTGTGAGAATTCACCAGAGACAGAGTGGGGAACAGAACAGGCAGACTGACTGAAACACACTGCTGAGGGGAGCAGGGGGCAAATCAGGAGAGGTCAGCTGCGCCATGTGGGTTGCTCCTTGGGCGGGGATCGAACTCATGCTGCAGAGGCTGTGGATTGCTTCATAGAGCGGTGCTTAACCCCCTGAGCCAACAGGGAGGCCCTCAATTAGTCTTAACATCATTGTTCAAGAATAGTGTAGCTCTAATAGCTTGCTCTTTCCTATGAATTCATGGTTTTACCTTTACATTTATAGAAGTAAGCATTCAGGATTTTCCATTTGTACTCTCTGATTAATACTCACATAAACTGTTCTAACACCAGTAATAATTGCTTTTCTTTCTCAGTCAACCTTTAAGTGAGAAAACTGAGGCTAGAACTTGGCTTCCCATCACAGCAGTATGCCCCATTCGTGTGGTAGTGTGCTTCATCAGCTCATGGTCTATTTTTCTTGTGGTGCTTAAAATTACTATTTTAGTTCTTTATACTGGGTCTTTGTGCTTTGGGCAATCTAAACATGGAGGTGTAGAACTCAAGTTTTTAATGTCACATGCACACCAAGTGACAGCAAATCGTTATTCAAACAGAAACAATTTTAGGTTCTTTTACTAGTTGGTCATACTTATCCCTTTGAGAAGAAAAATAAACCAGGGAGTGGACTTTGGATACCACTGTTCTTTTAATCCTCTGCAAAACTCTGGAAATATTATCATAAAGTCCAGATGCAAGGGCAATGCTTTTTTCTCCAACTCTGTACCGGGCTAAGAGCACAGGATTTTGTGAGGTTGCTTCATGTGTGTTTCAATCCTCATGGAAGAACAAGTCTTAGGAAGATAAGACTGCTGTTCGAAAGAATACCCATGACAAAGTTACTGAGGAATCCTTTAAGACACTCAAAGCATGTTGAAATGTCAGTGAACATACTCTCTAAGCTATTTTCTCATAACTAGGATGAAATAAATTTTATTCCTATTAATTTGAGGAGCACTAATTGGGTCATGTGTGTGTATAAAAGAAAAGAAAAACAAAAACAACTTGCTTTGCATTTGTTTTTTTAGGTCAATAGATTAATTTGATTTGAAAATATTGTCCGTGTTGAAAGAGTGTGTGTG